TCGCCGCTCAGCCGTTCTCCCCGGCTACACGTACCCCCACGGGACACTCCAGTCCTGGCAGTTCAGGGACGCCGTATAGCGGGTAGAGGAGATCAGTCACCGCCAGAAGCAGATGAAGAAATCCGCCGATTGGCTTCGATGATCACGAGACAGGCATCACGAGGCTTCACTGGAGAAACTTGGTGAGGAGAAGAAGGCACTCTCTCCCTTGCATCGTGACAGCTTAGTTTGCACCTTCACTCGCTGTGACACAACATTGCGCATTTGCTGCATACTGCGAGATGAAGGGCCGAATAAGTGTGTGGCATTCGCATTGCTTTATGTCAAGCAGCGTGACCTTGTCTATGCAATGCACACATTAGGCCAGTTGCCGCTATAACATGGCTTTGCGCCTCGCAATCTTTTTATGTACAGGTACGACTTCGACTTACCCCTCAACAGGACTGACCCAATAGTAATTTTGCATTTCAACGATGTCTACAACATCGACACTCGAGAAGATGGTTCCGGGGGCGTGTCTCGTTTTGTCACCGCGATGCAACGCTTCAGTCATTTGCACCCCCTAGTTTTTTTTTCAGGTAATATAGAACTTTCTGGGTACACGATTTATGGGTAGGCTATTCAAAGAACAGATTTTTCGGGTTTCGGACATGCTGAGGGAGCGCAGCAGTCTAGCCTTTGTGAACCGTATTCTCGCCAGAGATTGAGGTGCTTCAGGTGTCTGGCTTTGACGCTGAGTTCGCAGTTGGAGGGAACTGTACCTGTTCGGCTTCCTTCTTATAGGTGTGCCAATGCCCTACTGTTTTCTTTGCAGGAGATGCTCTAAATCCCTCTTTAATGAGCACTTACATGAAGGGAAGACAGATGGTTCCATTTTTGAACCTCCTGAAGGTGCACACTGCTTGCCTCGGCAATCATGACTTCGACTTTGGCATTGACGAGCTTGAGTACACAATTGGGTCGTGTAATTTTCCGTGGCTGCTTACGAACGTCTTCGAACGGTCCAGTTCGGATGACCAACGCAAGCTGGAGAGATATATGCATGGCTGTGACAAAACGTCATTATCTCGTGAAGGTTCCCATGGCGATAAGCGAGAAACGTCCAGTGGTGCCAGCGGGGAGCCTGGCAGTAAAGGAGTGGTTGACTCCGCTGGTGATGACTACATCGGACTTCCAGGAGAGCCAATAGCTAACGCGTGGAAGTATCGTCTTTTTGAATGGCAAGGTGTCCGAATTGGTGTAATTGGCCTTGTTGAGCGAGGTAAAGCAGCAACGTAGCAACCACTTTGGCTTCTTCTCACCCATTCCTGTCAACGCTTGAGCTTTAGCCAAAATCGCAGCATCCCCGTGATGGAAAAGTCTCCATTACTCCACAGCGAGTGCTTGATATTATGTGTTCTGGCTGCGAGCTCAGAATGGTTAGATACCTTGGCGTGCATCAGCGCTGACGACGTTGTATATGTCGACTATGTAGTAGCGGCAAACCGGATGTGCCGGTTCTTGAGAGCGAAGGAGTGTGAAGTGATCATTGCCTTGACACACATGAGGGCTCCTAATGACCAGCGGCTTGCCGAAATGGCCCCGGATATCGACCTTATTCTAGGCGGTCATGACCATGACTACTACGGATTGCAAGTCATAGGTCCGCCAACGCAGAGCCGAGAGAACAAAGTCGCTCAGTGACGTGAAACCGTGGCGTTAGCGCATTTTACTTGCATGGGCCTACTTTTTTCACTATAACGACCAAGTCCTAATAGGCACAAGAGCACGCTTGAGTCCGTCAGGCAGTTCTCGGCTGGAGTTCGAAGGCAAAGTGAATGACAGACATTCCTCAATATTGCGTTCTTCGGTTTTCAGGCGGCACACCTGTGGTCAAATCAGGAACAGACTTTCACGACTTCACAGCGATCGCTATATTCCCTGGAGATTCTTCGCCTCAGCCAAACCTGCTGTCAACTGCATTGATTGATGACTCAGGACAGCGAGTTGGTGCAGCTGCCATAGCCGCCGCAGCAATCGCAACCGCACCGCGGACACTGGATGGGACAGACGCACCAACGGTAGCCACAGCCAGTGCAATAGCTACGGCAGTTGCCGTGGCCGAGGAGGTTTCAAACAGTCAGGCAGAAGAGCTTAGCCCGAGCGAGCTGGCGTCACAGTTGCTTCAGGCCAAAGGGAAAATTATTTCTGACAACAGCCAGCCCTGCGGAGACGCAGAAGGACGCACTTTGCTTCTCAGGCCTGCCGCACCGGCGCAGTCACAGAGTGAGCTGAACTTGGAGCGCCTTGTCAGTTATCAGCGTGGCACATATTTTGAGACAGATGTCCCAGGACCTGCCACAGATAGTACTTCGGAGAACACGGTATGTGCAACCAGCGACTGTATACGTGTTTCAGGTGAATTGAAGCCTTCAGATTGCCCAGGCGGCAGCGTCGTCATCCCGAAACTCTTAGGGAGATCTCTGGTTCAATGGGAGCGTGTCAGGGTCACGCCGGCTAACTTTGCAAAGAACAAGCACGTGGAGCTTCTTGTAAAAAAGTACGAGCGTCACCTTAAGCAACAAATGCGGAGGAAACTCGCAAGACTTGGCGCCGACCTTGAAACAAGATTTCGGATTATTCGCACTCAAGAAAGCAACTGTGGCAACTGGTTGTGTGAACTCATGCGCAAGGAGTGTAAGAGTGATATTGCATTCATCAACTCTGGTGGGTATCATTGCCCGTTTTCACATTCCGTACACCGTATGTAGTATCACAGCTTTTCTCATGAACTGCTCGGAGAGGTAGCAGAACTCCAGCAGAAAGAATTCTGATGTGCTCTGTGTAAGCCTTTTGAGCACGGTACAGTAGACGTTAATGGCCTTTAGAGTTGGTGGTTTTTGTTTATTAACATAGGAACAATTAGATCTGACTGCATTTTCAAAAAGGGGGACTTCCGGTTTGGGGACCTGGCAGCAATGCTGCCAATGGCGGACGAAATTGCTGTGGTTAGATGCAAAGGCTCGGTGCTTTTAGCAGCCCTGGAGAATGCGGTCTCCCAAGTGCCCAAGACAGAGGGTCGGTTTCTGCAAGTTGCGGGGATTAGATTCGAGTTTGACAGCAGTAAGCCTTCTGGAAATCGCATTATTAGGGAGACTGTTAAAGTGGCACCGCGGGAGAGCTGTGCACAAATTTCTGACGGCCTCCCGAGTCTCGACCACTTTGTGCCCTTGGATGAGAACGCGGAATATACTGTTGCGACGAAGTCCTACGTTCTTCAGGGTGAGCCCTTTGGGTGCGTGGCGTTAGATTCACTGACGTTTGAAGTTGCCACGAGGGACGTTGATGCGTCCCCGTTAATGAGATCCCGCGTCGGCATGCATACGGGTGATTGGAGCTGTTGCTTCCTGCGCTTGAGCCTCAAGTCTGACATTAACACGGGCACTGTTTCATGCGAAGGCCCTGATTTCTATGTGTAACTATGCGTAGGCCGTGATGGGTTTACTATGTTGCCGAGTTGCCCCGTTCTCGTGGAGGGAGAGCTCTTGCCCCCACTACCGACGCTTGTGCGGAACGCCTTAGCATTGACAGCCATGGCTAACGGCCTCAACAGACCGCATTCACGCGTCGTGTCTCGCCAGCTTTCATCATTTACAAGCCTCCAGCAAGATCAGATGCTTTCCAAGTTTGGATGCAAGAAGGACGATGACGAAGTGGTTCTCGCACCAAAATGTGATGGGCGGATTGTAGACAGGAACGCACAGCCTGCTTAAAATGAATGGAGCTGAGTTAGTCCTGTTGAATGAGCCACGTTGCTTCGCAGAGGGCTTTTTGCGTCGGTATAGTCAGCTGTCGCATGCGCCAAAGGCGATTGAAGAAGCCCACATGAAGACTGGTGCAAATTTGTGCAACTACACAAGCTTTTTTCTCGTGCGTTTACAAACGTTTCTGAAGCCAGCGTGTAGCGGGTGCATCCAGCGTGCTGGTTTGCGTTCCCGCAATTCGTAGCATACTATGTGTACAAGGCCAGTGCTAAATGTAGCCACGGCTAGAAACAGCCTGCTCCTTTTAAGTGCGGGAGGTGCAGGCAACACCAACCCAAGCAAAGGGAACTGTCAGGCAGGACAACACACACGCAGGCTAGCTGCGGGGACAGCACACGCTTATCGCCGTGGAGCTCTTATTTTGCAGCAGACAGTTTGACTGTCAATTACCTCCTTTGAAGCTTGGGAAGGGCTCTGTATGTACCAGAAGTGCTTGTTTGGGTGGCTAGTCCGCAATAAACCTTACGTTAAGAAGAGCACAGGTGGAGCAGACTGAAATGCTGACATGCTAGCGGTAAAAAGGCTGCATTGCACCGCCCCGACTTCACACGTATGAACGAAGGCCCTTCCGACGTGGAAGCCCGAGCGAACAGTGTTTGAGTAAAGCATGTAGTATGCCAGTGCGTGCGCGGACGTGCAGATGATGCTCGTACATGAATTGCGAACAGACGCCCCAGATAAAGATGAACCGGCACGAATCAATAGCAAATCTTACATGTAAATTAAAGACGACGATATACGTGCAGTTCGCTGGAAAACTAAGTGGCTCATACACCTGGAGTGCGACCCACATCTGAAGCAAAAGCTGTATCTGGCGTGTCCTGCGCTGACGCTGATGTAATGACATGGGGCTGAAAACAATGCACGAAATTTATTCAGAACCCCCACGCAGCTACTACTAGTCTCAACTAGTATACTACTAGGTCGAATACTTAGGGGATAAGCAACGAGTGTTTAGGTGGTGATTCAAGTGGAAGCATCAAATCGAGGGGCGTAAACTTCCAAACAGCTAGAGTACAAACATATTTCGGAAGAGCCAGCGCAAGACTGTCCTCAAGTCGCCTTTACGGTGAATGCGTTGAGCAATGGACAACAGTTAGCACAATTTGCCGTAGGGACCTGAAGCACGCAATGGCTCTGGCGCGGACAGCCCACAAAAATGGATGCCATTTGCCACTGCACCGAGGTGACGCCAATTCAGCTCGTCAGCTGCTCCTCTAGGTCTTCAGCCAGACCACGCAGCATCTGCATGTCTTGGTGCAGTACTTCGGTAGGTGTTTCTGCAGCTCTGCGTCTTCGCCGCCGTCGTTTAGGGGCAGGCTCAGTGACAGCACTAGATCTTGAGTCTCGCGAGCACTTGTTACTGTAAATGCGGCACCTCAGGGATCGAAAAACAGTGCCGTAATCGCTACCCGTACGGCCGCACGCTCTGCCACTCAATCCAGGCAAGCACACGCCTGGCTCTACGTGTGGAGGAAAGCCTTCCGTGGGAGGCACTGTGCGTTTCTTCAGGGCAGTCACTTGCTGGTCTTCCGAGTTGCTTCGCGATATTGGAGCGTCCGCTGCTGGAGTCCTCGCTGCTGCTCTATCAGCTCCTACAGGTCCTAGGAGCGCCAAACAGGGGGCAGGGAAAGGCCTGAAGATACTGCTGGAGGTATCTCTGGAAGGGGCTGAAGAAGTGCTAGAGACAGTGGCATTTTCCATACGTGCCTGGGATGTGTGTTCGCTTTGTCCAGAGGAGTTTCTTGCATAACGTTCTAACAGCTCGCGAACAAGTATTTCAGCTGCAGCCACAGATGCCGCCGCTGCTTTTCTTCCAGCAGGCGCTCGGCTGAGGATCCTGAATTGCCTTGAAATTGTAGAACTACCCCAGTTAACGAGATTGCTGTGAAGAGCCGGAATAACTAGTGGGCCTCGACGTACCGTGAAGCCTAAGTTGCCAGCTAGTTGTAGTAGTCTTTGCCTCAGGCGACTCTTGGGACTCTCCTCCACCGCGAATAGCTCAAGCCGTGGCAGTCCCCGCAGTAGCAGCCGCAGTGACGTTGCATTTCCTCGAAGCTGTTGCACTACGCAGCTACGCAACTGCGGTAATAGCTGCGACAGTGCAGCCACAGCTCTGTGGCAGTTCCAGAAACACCAGTTGCGGCTGCAGCCGAAGTCAGCCTCCCGGCCTCGTTGAGCTCTGACCTTCCGCCGAGCCGCCTCAGACTCATCTACCCGTCGAAATTCGCTTGCCCCTGAAAGGGGCTCCAACGGATACGAGAGTGCATCTGTCACACTGATTTGTAGGAGTCTTCTCAGGGCCACGAGCCGCTGATGGTGGCTGCGGAGCCTCCTCAGACGTTGAAGGTTCTCCCGGAATCGATGGTAGCGCTGCAGCTGAAGATGCTCTTGCCGTGCCGCGCTGCCAGCAGAGCTGCGAAAATTGGCACTAGCTAGCGACTCTAGGCGTCTCTGGAGCTGCTGCAGCTCCTGTCGCATGCTACTCAGCTCGCGAGCGAGGCGTCTTTGTGTCTCCTGATGCTCACGTTGCTGGCAGGACTCAGATCCTCCACTGGTTCCGTGTATTTGCGCTTGACGGCCCGATACCGCGGCAGACAGACGTTTCAACCGTCGACGCCGTGCACTATATTCTTCGTACAGCCGTCGTTGGCGCACAAGCAGGCGGGCAGCTTCGTTGTTCCGCTGCGTTTGTGTACGCTGCATGGAAAGCTGTTTTCTCCTCTGCAGTTGCTGTAGCCTCTCTGCTTTCCTGCTATCAAGAACGCGCTGCCAAGCCAGAGACAAAAGCGGATTTACAGCAGCTGCAGTGGCTAGGGCAAGACGAACGAGAACCTTAGCATCAAGTGTCCACAGGTGAAGCTCCCTCAAGCACGCAAAGGGTGAACTTTCTAGAGGTGAGAAGTTCAACGGGAGACGCAATGCCTGCAGAAGCTTATGGGCGTCCTGAGTGGACCTTTCGGTACTTCGAATTATTCGTAGTTCTTGTGATGCCATAAGCGTTCGTGGGGTGGATGCCCCAGTTCCTCCAAAGAGACGGCCTTGGTACCGTAGAACCTGCAGATTACGAGCTCCTCCCCCTGCCAAAAATGAGTCAAAGTCATCATCTCCGCGCTGCACCTTCAAAATGCCGCACACAGCGCACGTGGGAAACCACTGCTTCTTGGTTTCGACGTTAGTTGAGTATAATGTGCGACCTCCGACCAAGCCTGTGATGTGTGCTTTCACAATGGGGACGTTACAGTGAAAAAAATGAATAATTTACCTGAAGTTCAAGCAGGTTGGGACACGAAAGATTCGGCGTGAAAAAAAGGGCCGTGCCCACGTATTTCCTTATTTGCAGGGTGACTTGTGGTCGACTCTTTGAACTGAGAACCTCTTCATCTTCAGTTTCGAGGGCCAGAGGAGGGCTCCTAGACCGCCGTCGGGACAAATTTAGACAAGGATCTCTGACGCACAGCCTCTCAATGTTCTTAAGAAGTGCTACAAACCATACCACTGAATCTGAATCACCTTCAGTATTGAGACTCTGCAACGCCCCACACTGCGGGAGAGGCTCTGCCAAGTAGGGAAGGAAGCTCGAATGACACTGTAACTGCTTCAACTGGCCAAACTTCAGACCGAATAGGGGCTTCGCACTACCATCATCTCGTTCTCTACATGTGAGATCTTTCTGATCTAAGTCTTGGCCAGTGACGAGTTGATGGGATACCCACGCAATTTCCTCGCCCCGAAATGGATGCGCTTCTAAGTCAACTAGGTCATCCGCAAAGTCCACGTTTTGTCTTATTTGAGCGCTGAGCTCCCCACTAGGCGCCTGCGGTCGCTGCTGCTGAACTGAAGTGCTGCGGCGGCGCCATATATCAGATACTGTACGTGCGGCTAGGTCTGCAATACCTGCGCTAACAGCAGCAGTCGGGGCTGCACTCGTGGAAACACATTCGGGAAAAGTTCCAGCACATCTGTCGGCTTTGAAAAGACTCGCAGGATCCATTAGGGGATGAGCACGGTGAACAAGCAGGACACGCTGAAGGGCCTTAGTTGCCACAGCCTCATAAGGCAGCATGCGAAACGGCAGTGGCTCTCTTGTCGTCCCGGCGCCTAAAAATGCGGCAAGAGGTGGGGCTGTACCCTTCACATCCAATACACGTAGGCTTCTTCCGTAAGTGCAAAGGTATGCCCAGAGAAGCGAGAAACCAGGTATGGGTTTGCTGACAACTGAGCCCCAAGTTTCTGGAAGTCTCAGCTCTTCTAACCGTGGCAACAGCAGACAACTCAGCAGCATGAAATCTGAAGTCCGTACAGCTCGCAGTCTCGGCAACAGTACCAACAGCAACTCCCCTCCCGAGCCCCAAGCACAAGGAACAGCACAGCATTCGTTTGGGAGATGCCGAACGTGACGGCAGCCATTTCCTACTGCAGCGCATAAACCCGCTGCCGCAGAGAGCACATTGTCAACGGCTTCGTGAGCTGTTGAGGCCTTTGCCGATGCGGTCTGCACTGCTGCGGTCCCCGCTGCCAGCTTGCTAGCGTTAGTTGCGGCTATACATCCAGACACAAGCGAGGAGGTTGCAGTCGGGGAAAGCGAGCCGCACGCCTGCGTCATGGCTGGGTCGAAGACAGTGCTTTGGGGCACTGAAGAGGGATCGTAGATATCAGCAGTCGACAGGGACGCAGGCACGAAGCTCCTGCGCCCATGCCGCTGGCCCCTTTTAGCTCGTACAGGCGGCGCTGTTGCTGCCAAGAGATGGCGGAGTCTTGCCTTGATATGTGGTGCCCGAGGCGCTTGATCACTCAAGCTAGTCAGAATGTTGCCAGCAGATGCAACTGAATGCAGCAGTGACTCATTCAGAGCTCCCACAGTATAACTCCCCTGGAGCAGCCGAATGTTGTAGCCGCTGCGAAGCAGAAAATGCAGCAACTCCTGCAGCGCAGACTCGGCATCAGCTGAAGGCGCAGGCGCACTACGTGCTCCACCGGGACCCGACAAGCGACCTGCCCACTCTTCTAATGCCGAAGTGAGGTGCGAGTAACCTGACTGTTCACGATGCAATAGGGTCTGCTGCAGTTGCTGATGTTGGTGTTGCTGTCGCTGCCGTTCCTGCTGCAGTCGGCTGGGTGTATCTTGGTACCGCGTTGCTGTATTGCTGGTGAGGTTCAGCTCCTCCAAGTTGGGGCAATGCAGCAGTTGGAGCAGCCGCCAGCTCCCCACCACAAGGCTTTTCAGCTGCGGTAGTATAAGACGAATGCCTTCGAACTTGCGCCAAACCCTTAAGGCGATTTCTGCTGAAGATACGCAACAACAACAATTTTCGATTTCAGCAATCCTGCAGCGAAGCTCACTTCTGTGGGTTCTTTTGCGCCACTCCCTCCAGATATCCGAGGTGCACGAAAGTTCAACGCATCCTCCGCTTCGCTCGTGTTGGTGGGTTAAGTGGCCTTCGCTAGTTCGGCAGTAACTCTCTTGAAAATCAATCATCTGCCGCTCCCGTTGCTGCTGTTGCTGTTGTTGTCCACCCCCTGATGCTTCCGATTCGAATGAGTTCAAACTGCTGCGGCACGTGCTTCGTTGCATACGTTCTCTCAGGACCTGCGCCGTAGCCAAGAGCATGCCCCCAGATGCCTGTGGTCTGCTCATGAGTTGCCGAGCAGTTGCACAGTGGTCTCTTCGAGTAACATGCGGGCCAACAGTGCTTTCTAGTGCCGCGGCTGTGGTAAGAAATGCGTCGCCCAACTCTTTCGCATGCTCATCACACGTGTCCCAAGGAGGCGGCGTCGCTGCCAAAGCCGTTAAAGTGGCCTCTGCTAATTCTGCCTCCCAGATCTCTAGGGACACTAGTGTCGTTGCGCTGCGCTGCACTACGCCAGCAAATGCATCTCCAAGCATTCGTGCAGTCAATGGACACCCGACTGATACACTAATGGAACGAATCTCCGATAGCTCCTTAAACAAAGAGCGAAGAAATAGAAGGTCTGGAAACTCTCCATTTTCCATGGCCATAGGATCCACGGAATTTATGACCAGCTCCGCATGCCGGCTATGAATAGCTATTGTCCTTATACAAGCCCGAATTGCTTCTGATGGCAGCTGCCGGTACACGGGGGGAGAGACGTGGATCATCGTGTCCGATAGACACAGACGGCTCCTTATTAGACCTAGCCATCTTCTGCACACGAGCGATCCAACCTTGATTCTCTCATTCTGGGGTAGAAAACGCAAGATTGATGCTAAAAGAACATCTGGGACGTCAGAAAGGGGCGAACGGGCAATGCAACTGCTTCTGTTATCCCTGTTGTAGTTGCTGATGCTGGGACTTGGGGAAACTACATTATTCGTCACGCTGCAAGCATCCGGAGACCCACTTCTGCTGTTTTCACTGCAGTCGCCACTGCTCCTGTCGCTACCGCTCATGCTGCTGCGCCGCCGCCTCTATGGCGATGATTCGACACAGTCACTACTGCTCGAGGCGATTCAAAACCTGCTTTCGCTGCCCTGGGAGTGGGGACGAAGCCGTAAATGCTGGCTAAGTGGTAATATCCATTGGCGCAGCTAGCGTGGAAAATCATGGACGTAGTGTCCATGCTCCTGATGGGGATTTACTGTTTGCACGGGCGCATCAGACAAATGCCATGTCAAACGAATTCCGCTGTGGTTCAGCCGCGTTTGTGAATCCAAGATGGCAGAGGCGCTTCCGTTGAAGACAGGCAATTAATCATTAGGTTTGGCAAAGCGTATTTGGTCTGCCCCTGCGATGTGATGGGATGGTACAGCGTGTTCCATTCAGAGACCAGTGCGACGGACACGAAAATGGGGAAGACCAGAAACAGTTGACTTAAAATATGAATGCCCTAACTCTTTAGTTTAGGGTGACTTCGTGCTTATGTTGGCGTCTTGTGAAATTTTGGTGTTTTTGCTGCGTCGCCGCAGCATCCGAATGGCGTCTGCGAACGGTGACAAAGAGTGCAGTGCTGAAGAGGAAATGAAACAACAGCTTGCCTTGCTACAGACACAAGAAGTCTTCTCAAATAACATTTCTTTAAATGGAAGATGCGCAGTGGGGGAACAGTCAAGTGTATGTTTACACGGGGCCTGGAGGCGCAGCCGCCATCGGGCTGCGCCATGCATAAGAATAATCTCTAGAAAACATGTAGTTGCTCCTTGAATTGGTTTAGTCATTTCCAAATACTTTTGTCTTGGAGGTATTAAAGACATCCAAGGGGCGTCTCAGCTCAATATCGTTTCTAACTGCTACCGGTTTCCCGCTGTGCACGAGAAGTCTATGCCACCACTCATCTGAGCTGGCGGTGAACTCGCAACTCGTAGCGATATGAGTCCTTCGTCTCTTTTGCAGTGCACAAGCAAACTGACAGCTCTAATCCCCACCGAGCTAACTGTAGCGGTTCCTCCGTCACATGACGCCTCGATCGTACGTAAGTGCAACATGCACCACTCAACTAGCGGAGAGTTGTCTAGAGCTCTCCCAAAACCTTGAGTATGCAACGGCCATTACGTAAGGACTAAGCAGCTCTATGAAAGAAAAGTGTCCTGCCACCCCTCAAGGCAGAACTGGCCGCGCCACTACACACTGCAGTGTTCATCTCAACGACACTCACTCTGCGGTACACACTACTCCAACAGTGCTCGAAACACTTAAACGGGCAGTCCAAGCAAGGAATCGGCTGATCAGCGAACGTCTATCAACTGCCCATAATGATTCCGAAGCAGCCGATAGATGACGCGTTATTGCCACCTCAAGGAAGATCCAGCAACACAACAGTCACGTTTACCCGAAGGCCTGTTCGATACGGCTGCCAGGCTGTACCAGCCGGCAGGAACTGTTATGTTGCTGTAGAAAACAATGTAAATTCACTATCGTTGTACATTGAAAGTCCTCGTTTGCCCGGCTGACTACTCCGGTAAGACAATATCGCATCATCACTTCAGGCGTGTTAAGCACAACCGTATTTTTCCACGAACTTGTCTGGCCCTGAATGACTCGAGCAACTTACATGGGCAAAGTTGCTCAACAGAAACGCTTCTTCATAGCAAACCGTTAAGGGCGCGTCACATGAGCCCACGTGCGACAGAGACCATCTGCCTCACATGTTTGGCGCTCGACTGCGTGGCAAATTTAGCAGCAAGAAGCCCCTGGCTCCACGGCTCTACAGTGACATGCGCCCCTGTCGTATGAATTTTGTTCATGTCGCTTAAACTTCAAGCATGCACGGTCCTGTTGTCCAAGGACTTGTGTTTCTGTAGGCCCGAGATTTCACACTACAAACAGATAAAGGAACCAGAGTGCAACACATTGGTTTAACAGTGCGATCTGCAAGCGCTAACGGTTTACCGCGACACTGCCCGAAACAGCATAAGGTCAGAGACTGCTCATCAGCGTGCTATAAGGCATCTACCATCATACGGCTATACCAGACTTCTGGAGATTTGCAATTACGATAACCGGCATTTCTTCGCACAACTCAGGGCTCCGTCAACACTGTTTATAAACCAACGGCCACCATGCAGAACTTTGGCTGTTCCGGTTACGAGCCAACGGCTCTGGTACGTTTTGTAAGAGTGGAAGAGGATGCTGCAAACGGCGTTTCATCCAAATCCTTTGCTTTCTTCTCCACCTCTCCATTCGCCGGCGCTCCCTGTTCGTCAGCCCGGCGAGTCTGCTGGTGTCCTAAAGAATTGTAATACTCAGGCCGAGAGTCTGGATTAACCACTGCAAAACCGTCAGAAAGTGAAGCGCTGAAGACTTCCGCCGGCATCGACTCAACACGTTCCTTCAAGTAACATACTGCCTCCTGGACCCGGTGAAGCGGCACCCTGGGATTTGCAGCGCAACAGAAGAGCGCGGTATATATCGCAATCTTATGGAATAAGTACGCAGGCATATCATTGCGAAATAACTCAAATGCCTTGAAGGTTGAAGCTTCAAGTGTCATGTGCAAGGCGGAAACGAAATTAGGTAAATGCATGCGCAAAAAGGACTTACTCGAATGTCACTGCCTGTAGCAGATGAAGATCTAGCGGACGATGATGTAGAACGTGTATTGCCCGCATCAGCTGAGATTCATCGTCGTGGCGTCTCTTATCTAGGCAAGCCTTAACCCAGCGCAGCGCGCAAGGTGCCACACAAAGAAAGTCATACTTGCAGTTGTTGTTCATGACGTCGTCTGCGATCGAACACAAAACAAAAAAAATGGCCAGAATCGCTCAAAGGAAAAACACAAAAAACATCCTACAGAGGCCTCCTATTGACCAAAATATGCATACTCACGAGGGCCTTTCTTTTCCATTGTCAAGAAGTAATAAGCAGTCCAAATATCCAGCACAAGATGCGGCAATAAGTAAAATGTGCCAACGAGTAGCAAGTGCCCTCGCCACAACAAAACCACCACAGTAGAGGCGACGAACAGCGTCAAAAATAGAGGCGCGAGAGCTGCAGACCAGCCGGGAAGCCGAGGGATGGCCAATGTTGCACTATACAAGAACGGCCTGAGTTCCAGCAACAGCACCTCAAGCAGACTTGATAATGTCGCGTGGGACTCACTCCACGAAGGCAGAGGGAGTATTGCAACCCTCATTTGTTCGGATTCTAGAACTGCGCAACTCGGACTCCACGGGTTTTCCGTACCTTAGCGCTGGAGTTTCACCAGGGACATTGAATCGCTTGCTTTGGTAGGGAATCATCAACGCGCCGCATATCAAACCACCTACAATGTCAGAAAGGAAGCGGCTGCTGCTGAAGGTGCCGTTGGCCGCCACGAATGCATGCATCAGCAATGAGAAGAAGAGTGTACCCAAAACAGTGCTGCTGATGATAAGAAGTATTGGAAGCAATACATAAGGAGACGCCTCCATCAGAGCTTGTGGCGCACTGCCTAGGCGCGATGTACAGGCTGAGTACGCCCACCAGGTGAGCGCGTATGCGACGCATAGCAAAAGGACATCAAGCAGGAGGCTCCACTGCACATAAATGCGTACAACAAAGCAGCCGCAATCACACAAAGAGATGGGAGCTGCCGTACTAATCACCTTGCTTAAGAAGGGTGATACAATTTAAATGCCTTGGACGGCAGTGCCGGATCAACGGAGCGCTGCCACTTGTCCACATAGGCCTTCAATACGTACCAGAGACTGGATTGTGCTTGTGTGCGCGCTTTTAACGCGTACGACCTCGCGGAGGCTATGTACGGCAGCCAGAGCCTCACAGTTCTTGCGTGCTTCCGCGTCCCTTTGTTGCCTAACAACTGACTGTTGTTCCCTTTCTGCCTTGAGCATCTTCCAAGCGGTAGTGGCGCGCCGCAGATCCCAAGCCAGCCCGAGCCGCGCGCAAATGTCAATAACCTGCACAATCTCCGTACCCTCATCTATCACTAAGTGCGAAAGGGCACCAAGAGCTCGATATCTCTAAAGGAGGTACTATGATGCGTCGACCCACCAGCTTGCTAGGATTGTACTGGTCGAGAACACCCCCTTCTGATGCCGCATAGTCATAGGGATACTTATGATGCCAGTCATGCCAGCCTTCCCCGACAGCAACAAGAGACGTGAAGCAGCTCTCGCACGGGTTGCCTTCCACAGTGTAGCGCCGATCACCCCAGATATGTGCTGTACTGTTAACCGTCCACGTCGCATGAAGACAGATACACCAGCGAAAACAACCTGAGGGCAGCAAACAATCATGTATCACAATCGGTAAAATGCACTCCGATTAGAAAGAACTGATGATGAACAAGCATACTGGGAAAACCACAGCGCATCAGCGCCTTACCTAGTATAAAGAAACCTGCCCAGAAGTCGTTGTACTTATAGTAAGCGTAAATTGCAGGTGCGACGAAGCACCAAAACTGGTTCCACCAAGGGTCCATCTTGTGTTGGAACCGGACATACGGATCCTGCACAGGGATAGTGAGCACAAAGTAATGAATATATGGGGAAAACCGTTAAAGCCAGACACTTAGGGGACGAATCCAGCGACAAATCCAGGATCAAGTTGCCGCTCACAGCAATCAAGTCGTCAAAGCACAGCTGCTTCCCGGCTTCTCTCACGGACGGAGGCTTCTTCAGAAGCAACCACCCCACATGGGAGTAGAAGAAACCCCTGGAGGCGTTGTACGGGTCGCCTTCCTTATCACTATTCTTGTGGTGCACGCGATGGTCCCTGCACTGCAGGACACGCAAATCAACATCAAAAGCCAACACAACTGGACCTGTGGCATATCCGAGAACACATGTTAATGCTCATTGTCCACTAGTGCATCCCAATTTCGTACCCAGTGGAAGATAGACCCCTGGTTCGCCAAAGAAGTGAGCATCATCAAGACAAAACGAAGAGCTCCAGATGCCTTGTACGCACGATGCGACCATAGCCGGTGTGCTCCACAGGTAATGCCCAAACCTCC